TCAGTAAAAAATTCCCCAGGCATTCAGAATAATAGAGAATAGTAGAGTAAATAACACTGTGGATTTTTTCTTGTGAAAATTAACTATCCACGTAGTAAATGAGCTCTTCTGTCTATAGTTGACCCAATTTAACACAAAAAATATTTAAATTCAGGAGAAAAAGTTTGTACTGGTTACCTATTGCCATTTTTTCCCCTTTAATTTACAAGTTAGGGGGCGCTTGGGTGGGTCAGTTGGTTAAGCATCTGCCTTGGGCTCAGATCATGATCCCAGGGTTCTGGGATGGAGACCCTCCTCGGGCTCCCTGCTCAGTGGGGAGCCTGCTTCTCCGTCTCCTTCTGCCCTCTGCCTCTCCTCCTGTTGTGTGCTCTCACTCACACTCTCTGCCAAATAAATAAATAAAATCTTAAAAAACAAAAAACAAAAACAAGCTAGGATTTTTTTCTTATTGAGTTGATTTTTGTTTGTTTTGTTGTGATTTTGTCTGTTCTTTACTGGGTGGGAAGATAAAATCAAGTGTAACTTATATTTAGTACTACTAATCTCTGGTATGAAAAAAAGGGAGAGAGCCATAGTAGCATGTTCTCTTGGACACTTCAAAAATTATGTCAGTAGCATTTAACAGAGACTAGAACCTGCCAAATTCCTACATAGTTGTAATTTACACTTACTATTAAGTGGCAAATTCATCGACATATAAACAACTATGTGGAAGTATGAATGTTTTCGTTTTTATATGAGGATTTCTTTTCCCTTCCCTTCCCTACCTTAGCTAATTGTTTTGTGTAGCTGGCTTATGAAGTCTGTGCAGATCAAACAGCATTTGGGATTGAGATGGTTTTTACTTCAAGAGAACGTTTACTTCATTATAGGCCCCCAGGGATGCAGAAGACGATCTTTTTAGGACAGTAACCAATACACTTCATTTTCATGAAAATTCAAATGAAAGATGATGGTATTTGGAAGACCAGTTTCGACAGGAAAGAAAATACACTTTTGGCTTCAGAGCTTAGTTAGATGTTAGAACATGATACTAAGGAATATCTTCATTTGTTAGACTTCAAAAATGTTCAATTTATTATCTCAGCGTTTAGTATTAAATTAGAAATAGATAAATGGAGACTTTAATAGTAGCCATCTGTCTGGAGAGTTTTTACTTGATTTCTCTGGAGAGGAAGGATGGCTTAGATGATCTTTGAACGTCTCTTTTAGATATTTCATGAGGAGAATGCTGTGGTTAGGGTGGGAAGATACAAGTCATGTGTGCAGATAATCTAAGAGTTTCAGTGAAGTGTTGAAGACTGGGATAGGGGAATGAGGCATTTGAAAGTTGGAGAAGACAGGTGGCCTGCAAAGATTGTGGAGGAACTTGTAAGTCATTCGGGTAGGGTGTTCAGAATAAAATAAACAGGCGGTGCGTCTGTTAGTGACCAAAAAAATTATTTCAACTATGAATATGTAAGCAACTATAATACATGATAGTGTTGTTATAAGAATATAAGTAAAAGTGAATCAATATATAAATTTGGATGTATTTAGGGACGCCTGGGTGGTTCAGTCGGTTAAACGTCTGCCTTCGGCTCAGGTCACGATCCCAGGGTCCTGGGATGGAGCCCCGCATTGAGCTCCTTGCTCAGTTGGGAGCCTGCTTCACCCTCTGCCTGCCACTCCCCCTGCTTGTGCTCTTTCTCTCTCTCTCAGACAAAAATAAAATCTTAAAAAAAAAACTTTGGATGTATTGAAAGTGACCGATTTCATTGGGACTTTAATATGAAATTAAACTGTACTTGTCTCTTAAGGTGTAATATGGTGTGAGAAGGTTATAAATAACCAGAGAGTGCTTACTTACATCTAATGGACTGGAAATGAGTCACTAATACTGAATAATTGGACATAGTTGGAGCGAAAGGGCCTGGGAGAAAGCTGAAGTACACAAAGAACAAACAATGCCCCTGGTAAAATGTGCTTACTATAATTCACAGAGAAATCTTTGTTATATTTCACATCTTTGAAGAAAGAATTCCAAATGTCAAGCACATCTGATATATACTGTACTTAATACCAGGCGACAAATGTATGACTTAGAAGGGCCATTGACTGTTTTGTGTAAGTAGTGCTATCCTTTCAAACTGAGATATGTCACTGACAGAGCCATTGGTGTTTCCTGACATAAAATTAGCTGGATTGTGTGGATTTCAACAGTAGTGGTGTTAAGGGTGAGAGAGAGTCTGTTGTGTGAATGGAGGTCTCAGTCCTTGGATTCCCCAGAAGATTTATGTGGGGATCTGCACTCCAGTAAAGACAGCCAGAAGGAAAGCAGCAAGCACAAAGCAGTTCAAAGCAGTTCGTTAAAGCAAATAGACACTCTCAAGGTGGGAGAGGGGACAGATGCTGGGAGATGAAATCCCGCCCTGGGTTGTTTTGGGATTAGATATTATTGGGTCTCTCTGGGTGGGGAGGAGCTCTGACTTACAGTGGGCTGGTCTCTAATGATTAAAGGCTGCTTCCAATCATTTGGGAAACTCCTCCCACAGGTTGGGAGGGAGAGTTTGACCCTGTGAGGTTTGTGCCAGAACCTTCTTGGCAGCCTCCTCCTGGGGGGGAGGGTAGGTTGTACCCATAGTGCAAGTGAGTTAGGATGAGTCTAGGGGTTACCCTGGGGCAGAGGTGGAAGAAGAGAGGGCATGCTCTGCACTTTGGCTCTTGATCTGTCCGCCCCAAGGTCTTGGAAGCCACAAGGTCAGGATGTTTGTATTCCCAGGCTTTTAATGTGTAGTTTATTTACCACCCCAGCTCCTGTCTCTATAATTCCTCTTTAGGGATTTGGGACTCTGCCTTGGGGTAGTGCTTCTACTGCTAGAGTCTAGCTTCTGCCTAACAGTTGGTTCTGAGATTTTTTCTTTCAAGTATTTAATGGCTTTGCCATTCCTTCTGCTTAATTTAGCTGTTTGTCAGTATAAACAATTTTGTTATTGTCGCTGTGGAGGAACCAGGAAAGGAAACTTTATACCCAAATATTTAAAATAATTTATTTACTCTGCTTAAAGAAAGTTGAGCTGATGTCCTCTTTGAGGAGAGGTACAGAAGGTCCTTTCGATCTATCAGTGGGCAGTGAGGCTGTGGGCAGTGAGGGTTCCACCTCAAGGGGTAAGCAGGAACAGTACAATTTTCACTTGCCTCCCAAAGGAGATCTCAGCGTGAGTTTTTATCGTGAGAAATTACAAATTTCCATAGCTTCACCTAAACATGCGAGAGATAAATAGTAGGTGTGTATAGTCCTAAGTTCTTCTTTTAGCAATTATAATAACAAAAATTAAATTCCTCCTTCTTAGTGAGGTCTGGCATCTCATTAGCAAGATCTTTAAATGATTATTGAGGATCGTTTGGTATTGAAAAAAAAACAGGAATTGTTTGAGAAACATGGCAGTGAATGTATAAGGTAGTAGGAACAGGCAAACTCTTTTTTCTGGACAATATATGCTAAAATCCTGATACACAAGTTTTTGTAATGTGCAGCAGATTTTTCAGTGTCTAAGTTTTTGGGGGATAATGTGGTCTCTGTAGATGGCTTCCTAGTCTGTACATCAGTGTGTGACTGGGCCTGTGCAATCTTTCTGATCTCAATGCCCCTCGTGTTCTCCGTGGCTCATTCTGTTCCACTCACAGAGCCTTTCTATTTGCCTTTTCTGTGCTGTTCTATCTGTCTGGGAGCACTCTCTCCAGCTCTCCCCTGGCTGCTGGCGGTGCCTGCCTTCATTAGAACTCTTCTCAGTCTCCTCTGAGATTGCTGGGCTCTCCTCACTCTGCTTCCTCTCTGCATTCATTGTCTTCACAACTCTTCTCTTTACCTGAAGTTATATTCTATGCTTGTTTGTTCTTAAGTGCTGCGATGTTAAGCTTCAACTGTCTTGTTTACTGAAAGATTCCCAGTGCCTGAAGCTGGCCTGTGGTAGGAATCAGTAAATTATGTCCAGTGACTGCATGATTGGCCAAATGTGTCATGAAAATACATACCTTAGTAGGCTGGTTGTGCTTTATTTTATCAAATAAGATTTTGGAAATGTAGAATTTGTTTATCCCCACCCCAAGTCTGCAGAGATGAATTTTTGTTCTTATATTTGTGTTACTTGGTGTTAGAGATCTGAAGTGCTGATCACTCATTCCTTCTTTCCCCCTCCCCTGGATTCCAGTTGAATATAAACACAGAGTGAGTTGGATGGAGATTGACATATGCATTACTGAACTGAGCAGTGCCTGACAACCTACAGTACAGAGGCTTTGGAGAAGCTCCATTTGAAGCAACTTGGATTCAAGAATGTCCATTGGACTATCCACTCCTTTCAGTTTCCTCCCTCTCTCCCACTGAATCTTGAGTGGGTCTGACCAGGAGGGTTTATGGCACGAAACAAAAGACAGTGGGCCCACTGTCTTCAGCAAGCCATGAGCAGGCCATGAAGAAACAAAATGGAACCTGTTTTATTCATCAGCTAGTTAAAAATGTGAAAATGTGGCTCAGTGGAGTCTGCTTGCACTGGTTTCATTAGCAAGTTCTCATCATATGGAAATGATTCAGTATACAGGTGGAGAGAGAAATTGAAAGGATTGCTCCAGCGCCATCCCCTCAACTGGGAACCAGCCTCTTCTGTCGAAAAAAGGGGACAGGTTGCAATTATGGTTATCCCCTGAGTGATTGCAGTTGCAACACGTATATTAAAATATACCTACAAACAAATAATTTTAACCAGAAAAGAGCTATCAACACAGGATGTTTCTGAGAGTTGCTTGCAATTGTGAGTCATCTAGACATCTGCCAAATAAAATAGGAGACTCTATTTGTACACATGTTTAAGGGGAAGACTGGATGTTAATCCAGCATCTATTCAACACCTGTCAATAACAAAGGCATATGCTTATGAAAAAATATCATATCCTACCCTTGATATGTTTAGTATGACCAATACTGACTTCAGGTACAAACTCAGGAGCTTTTTATGTTTCAGGTTCGTGGGAGTAAGGGAGAAGTTCTATACATTTTGGATGCCACCAACCCACGACACTCCAACTGGCTTCGCTTTGTTCATGAGGCACCATCTCAGGAACAGAAGAACTTGGCTGCCATTCAAGTGAGCTTATTTGCTTCTTATTTGTACTCTGCACTGTGAGGGGAATGAACTAATTTATAACTGCATACCCTGTTTTAAATTTATTCCCAATGACCTGCTTCAAATAACAGTAACTAACTCATAAAGCAGAGAAATCCCATCCATTCAGCTTATGCAGGAAAGGGGCAAGTCTAGTTGTAAATTGACACCAGATCACTCTCTTTATGAGAATTCTTGAGGGAATGAATTATATAGTCTGATATTGTCCTTAGCAGATCTCATTTTCAAGTACTTTTAATTCATTCAGTGAACATTTATTGATAGTTTCTTTATTTGATGGTTTATTTGGCTCATAGTGCAATATTCTGTGTTATTTTTGGGAAAGGCTTCGTGGAGAAAGTTTACGTGGGTATATCCTCATGAATGGATTTTGAGCTTTTTGAAGATAGTGTATTAGTCAGGGTTTTCCAAAGAAATAGAACCAGTAGGATATCTATATCTATCTATCTATATCTATATCTATCTATCTATCTATCTATCTATAGAGAGATTTATTCTAAGGAACTGGCTTATGTGGTTACGGAGGAGGCTGGCCAAATCCAAACTCTGCAGAGCTAATGTCCCACTTTGAATCTAGAATCCATGGGCTGCTGTAGAACAAGGAAGAACCAGTATTCCACTTCACATGCTGTTGGGCTGGAAGAGCAGGTATTCCAGTGTGAAGGTCATCAAGCAGGAGAATTCTCTAATTTGCAGGGGGGAGGTGGGAGGTAGGGGGATGGTTTCAACTGATTGGCTGAGGCTCACCCCCACTGTACAGGGCAATTTGCTTTACTCAAGTCCATCTTCTTAAATGTTAATTTCATGCCAAAACACCATCACAGAAACACTCAGAATGATGCTTGAACAACTATCTCGGAATCCTGTTGCCCAGTCGAGTTAACATGTAAAATTAACCATCCTAAGTAGGAACCATATTTTATTGAATTCTGTATCCCTGTATTCTAGTATAAAGCTTCATATAACATTGGGCTCTAATAGAAACTATATTTGAACTTAGGTGATTCCTCAGTAGAAATTAAACTAGGAAGAGAAAAAGTTAAGGCAGTACATTTTTAGAGGGATCCTCTAATTAAAACTCTTTGATCAGATGATTAGCAGAAAAAGAAACATTGCATTTTGGGGGGAAATTGGCTGATCACATGTGAAAACACAGCTTCTGGATCCTAAACTGCAAAAGAAGAAGCAAAACTATGGTTGGTAGAAGTAAGAGAGAAGGAAAAGAATAAGGTATTTCCTTAAGTATTTACCATGTATACTATTCTAGAAGCTTCATAAACATCGTGCCATTTACTTAGATCAGAAAAACTCTAGGTTTAATATTTGCTGAAGGTTATGCTGATTTCACTCAAGTGTAAAACCAACAGTCACAAGAGGGAAAATATGCAGAATTAGGTTTTAAAGTAACCAGAAAAGATGGTCATCTAGAATATTCCATTTCCTGATGTTACTAGCTAACCACATTTTCTCAGTATAAATAAGTATTGGATGACCAATGTGATTACTGTCTTTTTTGGTCTGGATAAATGAGAGATGCCTCTTACCAACAGGCTAGGTTCGGCTGGAAAACAGGATCTTTCAGCAGTTAGAGATATTCAAGCCATTTTTTAGATGACCCATGACATACATTGATCCAACCACAGATTTCAATTGATTTTTTAAAATGTGTGAACATTAACTTTTTTTTCAATTATTTTATATATATTTTTTGTGGTTTCCTGATGCAATCATCTCACAGCATCTCCAGTTAACTCATAATTTTAGATTATAGACTCAGTTTTAGTATTTCCTTGTGAATGTTACCGCTATCAGAAAGCCTACAGACCCATGAAATTTACTTTAGTCAAACCCATTGTTTTGTGTTCTTTCTTTATTACTGTTTTAGAGACTGTTATTCTATTTAAACTAGATTCTTTTCTCCTTATGCTTAAATAATAATTTTAACCTTTGCTCAGATGCCTTTTGTTTGAGACATTTCTTCCTACTGGCTGTTACTTCTGTAGCATCGGTAACTCTCTCCACTGGCCCAGAGTTCTAAGGTGTTGCCCGCTCAGCTTTGAATTTTGTGTCAGGCTCTCTCAGATAAGGCTTGTTGAAGAGTTACCTTTCAGTGTACCTTTTGCTTGTCATGATCCCTTTAGATAGTGGAATACTAGGTCAGTAGGTATTTATCTTTATCTTCTCTTAACCACATTCATGACTCCATGCCCTGTTTATTTATTTCATGATATGGGACCACCCACATGTCTCTCTTTTTGAGTAACCACAGTTGCTAAGACTCACACAATTTTCATGTTCATTTGGGCCTTCAGTCCAGTGTTCTTCTTCTGCTGTGCTTCTTTCCTTGGAAGAGAGGAGGAATCTGCAAAGGGATGACTGTTGCAACTTTGATATTCCCAGAAGTTATTTGATTTAGAGGAGGTGAAGCAGGGTGAGATTGGAATAGGATTCATAAACTAACTAGAGGCTCTGTGAAGTTTCACCCTCGAATTTAATTAGAATCTGTTCAGAGGCCACTGGGGCAGTCTTTTGGTGCACAAGTGATGACAGTGCCTTTAATTCCTTTTAATGTTGTTTTGGCCTTTCCTTTGAGGGGGTTGAGTGCACTGTAACCATGTTACTTGCCACAGAGCTCAGTGTGGATCTTTGTTAGCTCCCTTGGTGGAATGTCTGTTTTACTTGAACGGTAGCTGGAGTAGCAGAGCGTTCAGAGTTCAAAATCACATCTGAGCTAGGGGCAGAGGACATAATAGTTGGGTCACAAGGCTGACGGTGATGTCAGCCTTCTGATTCGTTGGGATAATCTCCTGTGGGTTACATTCCAGAAACATTGAGTTGGTAGGAGAAGATCATAATGTTTCCTGCATAACATTATGAATCATTTACATTCCAAATTGTATCTGAAATTTGGGGTATTCAGGAAATTTTTTATTTGAGCTGTATGTCCCAGGAGTGGAGTAAATGAGAAACATTTGTGGCTATGTGGCTTGCTTGGTGGAAAACGTCAATACTTGGTCCAATTTTTTTGGACAAGGGATTAAGAATTTGAGGTCTGTTTTGGCAGAGGTTTGGAACTCCTTTTTGAAGACTTAGTTTACTTGTAGTTTTGCAATTTATCTGATTTTGGAAAATTTGCTTTGGAAATGATGATTTAAATGTATGAATTATTAAAGGCTCTTGTAAGTAACAAAATTCTTCCCACATGCACACATTTCAGAATCATTAGTTGAGATATATGTTCAGGCTTCTGAAAAGTATTTCCAACTGAACCAGAAAATTCTAAGTGCGAAAGACGTGGCTTAAAATGAACCAAAAGAATTCTTAGGCTACATAAAAAAAATGGGTGACTCTTATTAAAAATTAATTTTGTTACGCCAAAGGAAAAAAAGTAATAGTTAAATAAATATTTGACCTACTCGGGGTTTTACAGGCTTTTAAAAATTTCTTATCTTTTCATAGAAAATTATTTATTTAGGTACAGAATTATGTTATTCAAAGTTGAGACTGTGAATTCTTGGGATATTTTATTTTATTTTATTTTTAAAGATTTTATTTATTTATTTGACAGGCAGAGATCACAGGTAGGCAGAGAGGCAGGCAGAGAGAGAGGGGGAAGCAGGCTTCCTGCTGAGCAGAGAGCCCGATGTGGGGCTCCATCCCAGGACTCTGGGATCACTACCTGAGCTGAAGGCAGAGGCTTTAACCCACTGAGCCACCCAGGGGCCCCAGTGGGATATTTTAGAGATGTATTTAGGACATATTTCCAGACATCCCTTCCGTGGGACTTTTTTGCAGTATGTTATCAACATAAATGAAAAGGTGGCTTGGTGTCATAAGAAAAAGGAGCATATGGAAAAACATTTGGGTTTTGGTACACCTCACAAGGGATGTCAGGTTGTGTGGATTGCCGAAATAAGTTAAGAGAGCACCAGGTATTGAGCCAAACTTGTGATGTCAGCATAGCTTTGTCCCAATTCTGATGTCAGTTTAGTTTTCCCATTACCAGGAGAGCTATTTTATTACATACTATTTTCTCTCCTTCCTCTGCCTTGTTGCGAGGTCTTAGGCAGTCTATCCTGGAGTCTTCTGGTGACATGTGATATTTCAGAATGGTGGAGCTGGGAGATCAGATGTGGATTCCCTAAGAGAGAAGCAACTTGAATGTTTTTAAAGCACAGACAAGACTTTCTCCATTGTCATCGAAACAAGATCCACAGGCTTATTGAATGGTGATGCAGCACTCATATCACAGTGGTACCAACCTAGCACCCAAGCAACCAAAAAAAATTGAAAGGATTTTTCATTTATAAAAATTATACTTTTCTTGGGGCACCTGAGTGGCTCAGTGGGTTGAGCTGCTGCCTTGGGCTCAGGTCATGATCTCGGGGTCCTGGGATCGAGTCCCACGTTGGGCTCTCTGCTCAGCGGGGAGCCTGCTTCCCTCCCTCTCTCTCCGCCTGCCTCTCTGTCTACTTGTGATCTCTCTCAAATAAATGAATAAAATCTTTAAAAAAAAATTATACTTTAATTCAGTTTCTTCTCTAGTTCTGTTTTTTCCTATCAGATTTATGTAAATGGTATTTTTATAATATTTTCTAGAATCTGTTATAGAATATTAAGGTGCAACTGTCTAATGATTTCTTCAGTAACACCACAAAATATCAGTTAAATAACTTGCAGATCTTTTTTTTTTTTAATTTTATTTTTTATAAACATATAATATCTTTTTATCCCCAGGGGTACAGGTCTGTGAATCGCCAGGTTTACACACTTCACAGCACTCACCATAGCACATACCCTCCCCAATGTCCATAACCCACACCCCCCAACCCCCCTCCCCATCAACCCTCAGTTTGTTTTGTGAGATTAAGAGTCACTTATAGTTTGTCTCCCTCCCAATCCCATCTTGTTTCATTTACTCTTCTCCTACCCCCTTAACCCCCCATGTTGCATCTCCTCTC